GGGTCTATTTGGTAACTGTCTTTGTCTTGTGTTTGTGTTTTTTGTTTTCAAATTTTGTCAAAATGAAAACAAAAATATGTTTGGATATTATTTTGTTTTTTGTTTTATATTAGTTGTCTTGAAAAAAATGGGAACAAAGACAAAAAAATGGGAACAAAAAAAATTGTGTTTCAGAAAACATTCGAAACACAAAACACACGCGCAACTCAGCTGAAATTTTTAATGATGTCTCGGATTCGACCCTCATTATCAACAAAAATGTGTTATTTTTCATGGAAGTATAAAACCCATTTCAAGCGTCTCTCCTCCCATCGCTTCTCTCCGTCTCTCTCTTTTCTCCCTCCTCTTCTCCTTTCTCTATATCAGACGATCGGAAGAGAAACCCCCATCGCTACCTCTTTCTCTCCTTTCTCCTCTCTCCCTTTTCTTTGTGCATATATGCATAGGATCTGTGCATAGAAGGTGAAGAAGAAGATGTGGTGATTGTCTTCAAGCCATGACCTCCAATGTGAGAAAAAAGATCTGTGCGTGTGAAGAAAATATGTGCATGTGTATGTGTGTGTTGTGTTGATTTGGGATTTAATTGTCAAATAGATACCAAATATATTTATGATAAAATTTGAATTTGTTACCAAACATATTTTTTATTTTTATTCTCATAATTTGATAAACAAAAACGACTCCCAAACATATTTTTTATTTTGGTGTTTATCACAAAACACAGACAAAAATTATCTTTGTTTTTTATTTTTTTCAAGACGCGAATAAAAAAACGTTACCAAATGACCCCTGAGTTTTTGGTCAACTTTGAGCATAAATTAAAGTGGGACCCGATTATTATTTTTGATAAAATTTTGTGGGTTCATATTGTACTCCGTAAGAAGAATAACATGATATATTCACTTGCTCAAATTGAGTAAGAAATGAATGAGAAAATAGGCTCTAAATTGATCATCTTGAAACATGAAAATAAAGGAATTGCAATGTGGGATGTGACACCAATCCCACATTAGTTGAGGAAGAAATTCAACATGGGCATATATTGACTAAGTTTGCTTTATGGAATTGGGCCCCAAGGGGTACCACAATTTTATGAGCGGAGCGAGCATCTATATGCCTTCAGTTCAATCACACGCGCGCGGGCCGGGCTCGGGTGTGGGTGTGGGTGTGACCAAGCCCTATCTTTTTTGGATAAAATTTATTTAATTAATGAGCGAGAATTTCTTAACCCGAAATAAATTTTTCGGTATCCTTTAAATCGCACTGGTTCGAATTTGGACATCCCTCCGATCCGAAAAAGAGTCTAGTCCGAAATTTTTAAGATGTGTTTGTTCATGGAAAACAGTTACTCAAGGTGTCTACTGGTTGTTATGTCTTGTCATTCTAGGTTGTGTCCTTTAGTAAGGAAACTGTCAGGAAAGTCACCAATGGGTCTATAAATACTCAGGCTCATTTCCATTAATTACATTCAATTCATTAGTCCATTAAGGCATTAAATAGTCTGCATTTCGGCATTAACACAGTGCATTTAGAGAGAGTACACAACATAATTTTGGTTCGCTGGACGAGCAGATTAGAGTGCTACTTCTGTTCGTGTAAATATTATTGTATCCTGGGAGGCAGACGCTCAATATTCCATAAGCACCGTGTGTGAGGGCGAAATCTGTCTTAAGGACATAGTGTCAAACATTAGCCTTGATCTACCTAAAGTTCAATAACAATTCCTATTCTGCAACCGGGTTAGTTTTTATTTTGTTAATCAAACAGTTATGTGTTATTGTTTGTTGTAACTCTTTCATGTTTTATACTTGTTTGTTACTGTTTTACATATTTTAAATCAGAAACTTCAATAAGTGATTCTACTATATTTGGAACCCCACATCCAACAATTGGTTGGCTTTCTTGGTTTATTTTCATTAGGTCTGACCCAGTTAATTTCAGGTTCGTCAACCATATTGTATTAATACTGTACCATGTAGGATAAGTGAATTTTATTATTTGGATAAAATATTTAATGAAACAGTGATACAATGTCTACATTATCATGTGTTGTCATCATCTAATAATATGTTAACAAAAAAGTAAGTGGATCCTACACAAATTGATAACTACCCCTCCATGTAATATAATAACTACCAATTCTCCCTCCACATAAGACATTAGCTACCTAGATGTTCGAAAGTGAGATTCACCTAGTCTATTTTGTATTTTACCATAAAGATGGTGATACTACATGACAATGCTTATGTGGTATTACTGTGCATTAAATATTTACTCAACTATTCCAAGCTATTAGCTAATTAGCATGGTAGTTATTTGAAGTTACTAAAATAATGAGTTCCACTACACATGATATACTATCATTAGTTGATATCACTAATAATGTGGTATCATAGTTACATTTAGTTGTAATTCTGTAGTCTGGTGCCTTCACACCCAAGTCATTTAAATGCTTTAGTTAAAGGCCCCGGATAAATCATATGCTTGGATAGTTTGGATGATCATTCCACCTAAAATATCTAAGCATATATGATTTATCCAAACCACTTTCAGGCCTTTAGGCTTGTTTGGATGTAGTTTTTAAAATTTTTCTAAGGGTAAATATTAAAATTGGTATTTAAACTGTGTTTTTCAATTTTAATTTGATACATAAAGACTTTTAATTGAGTTTCTGAACTATCAATTTCATTTTAGTTAAGTCATCAATTTTCATTATTAGATCAATCGGAGACTAATCTGATCTGATCCATTTCAATCGTCAAATCATATGTTTTCGTTTTGATATAATAATAAAATTAAAATCGAATGCAAATTTAAAAACTATCATATTTAGTCTTTTTCAAAATGGTCACTCGTCGTGATCTAGATCTCGATGTCCTCGAATGCAAAGTGAGTGATGTGACATTAAGTGAAATTGAGAATAAAACATATTAAAAATGATTTAGATCCCAATCAGGAGCGGAGTACGTTATGAGGTACGGAGGCGCTTTCCCCCGCTGAACTTTTGATCAACTCTACATACATATTATGAACTTTTGATCAACTCTACATATGACATATTAAGGGATTTAACTTTATCTAAAATTAATACACTTGCCTCCCCTAATTTTTTGAGAATTAATAGTGATCCAAGTATTTTTTTTATTTGTATTTTAAACAACTTAATAGCTCACGGCCTCATCGCCCGCTTGAAACAAATGTTTTATTTTTGGATTGAGGAAAATAAATGTGAAAAGTTATCCTTGATCCATTTTCTTTAAGTAAGTAGCTTAAAATAATCACTTATACCCTATTTTTGAGATTTATAGATCATATTTTAAACAAAATTTTATTTTGTAGTTTCATATAATAATTTAGTCTTAATTTTAAAACACTTTGCCATGCTTGAACTTGACATTTTTTGTTTCAATTAGTGAATTTTTTTCAGTCATTTTTTAGCCCCCTCTAAGAGAGGATCCTGGCTCCGCCCCTAATCCCAATGTCCTCGAATGTTGGATGGATACCTCAAGACCATCTATGGGATATTTTATTGGCTGTCATATGGAGTGTCGATATTACACACCAACGTGAACAAATTACGAATTTAATTATAGCACAATCAATTAATATAAGGAATAAAAAAGGCCGAGTTAGTATTATACATGAATAACCATTTTACTAAGAAGAACATATACGACTTTTGAGTCATAAAAAAGGCTAAGTTAGTAGTATGTAACATGAGGTGGATATAAAAAGAATAGACTTAATAGTTTAATAATGAGAAATTAAATGGGGTGAGAATAACCCCACCCTTTAAGTTTTAGTGAGAATTTATTATTTGTACACGTTAGTCAAATTCAGTTCAATTTGAGTCTTAATTATAATTACGTCAAACCAAGAATTGAATTTAAGTTTGACTCAATTAACACTTTTATCTTAAATCTACAAATTAATTCTTATCTATCATGTTCACTGTCATAACTTTTTTTTTTTAACTTAGTTATTTTTTTATTATTTTTACAATCAATTTTACTTTGATTGTTAAAATAATTATAATCACTTCAAATATTAATCATAATCACTTTGAATCGATAATCGAGTAAAATAAAATTTGGAAGACGAATTTCAATCATTTGATCAATAATCTTAAAAAAATCTAAGTCACAAAAAATTCAAAACAAATAATGATAGCCCCCTTAGTATATTGATATATCACATTACACAATTCGAATATTATAATATTTTTATTTCAATACAAAATATGACATATATTATAGTCATTCGATTCATTTTGACGCAAATAATATTTATTTCAGATCCTTTTGTTTATTTAAATTTTTAAAAATAATCTTTAATTAGAATTATAATTAACAACCTAATTAATGTATAGTATGAGAGAGAGAGAGAGAGTTATAAGAAATATATAAGTCTTAGAATTGTGGAATGAATAAAAGTCTTACTCAAAATATTGGAGGGATTGGAGGGAGAGAACTTTTCGTATTAGGACCGTTGGATCAATATTTTTTTAAGTAATCTAAGCCGCGAAAAGTTAAAGACAAAAGAATCTAACTACTTTATTATATAGATTTTTATATGAAATTAATGTATACATAATATATAGACAAATAAGATACATCTCAACACAAATAATTAACTTTCCATCAACTTTCCATTCAATTTTGGAGGGATTGATTTTAGTGAATTGGAAGAAAAATTAATCCATCCACTTTTCCACATTTTCTATTTTCCTTCTTTACCAAACATGATGTTTTATTTATCCTTCAAACTTTCCATCTTTTCAACTTTTCATTTTTTCATCATACAAAACGGAGCATGACCCAAAACCCATATCCCACGACGCTATAACATAGGGTCCGAAACTCCAAAACCCAGACTTCCCAGAGGTACCGTTCTGGTATTACAAAAAAAGAATAAGGACTATTTCGGTATTTGATAAAAACACGAACCCTAATTGTTATATATACACATACAGAAACCACTCAAAACCCTAATTAGCTCATCTCTCCAGACGGAAGATGTCGAAGCGAGGTCAGTTCACTTCCCCTCTCATTTTCCATCGTTTTCTTCCACTTTCCACCTCTTTCTCAGCAACCAAAAGAAAAGGAATTGAATACTAAATTATCAATTAACTTGCCTTTCACTGGTTGTAGGGCGTGGAGGATCGGCGGGCAACAAGTTCCGAATGTCGCTGGGTCTGCCGGTGGCGGCGACGGTGAACTGTGCCGATAACACGGGGGCGAAGAACCTCTACATCATATCGGTGAAGGGGATCAAGGGCCGATTGAACCGTTTGCCCTCGGCTTGTGTTGGTGATATGGTGATGGCCACAGTGAAGAAAGGCAAGCCGGATCTGAGAAAGAAGGTCATGCCCGCTGTCATTGTCCGACAGCGTAAGCCCTGGCGCCGAAAGGATGGTGTCTTCATGTACTTTGAAGGTCATTCTCGTTCTCATGATGGTTTATATCATTGTGTCATTGTTTTTGTTATTAGTATCAAAATTCTGAGCTTAATTGGGTATTAAATTTAGTTGGGTTGCTTTGATTTTGATGCTTAGATGGGTATTCTCGATGCATTATTTACGGTTTCTGTCAGTAGGATGATTGTTAGTGTTGTGACAAGGCTTTATTGAGATAAATTCAGTATGATGGGTGGTAATTGAGGGTGCTAGCCCACAGTCTTGTCTTGTGGCCATTATTCATTGATGAAATGTTGATAGTCAACTTTTGTCAATCCCTTAATGTCATCATCAAGATATGATCATTTTTTGTGGCCTCGCATTTTGTCATCAGCTTGTTTGGTGTTTAAATCCATTAAACCTTGAAGCCTTGTACGGATATCCTAAGCTTGAGCCATTTCCACTTAAAATAAGTACATCTATATTCTAAAAGTATTATCCTTTTGCGGAAAATGGTTGATGACATTACCACAGTTATCTAAGCAAGTAATTGGAGACTTTTATGATATTTAGATTTTTCGTCGTACAACTTTAGTTCTCCTTTCTCTAGATCCAGAATTTTTTAGTTTCCTTTATAAACCTTTGAATTCATGATTCTAGCAGAAGGAAATGTGCATGCTGAGTTCTTATTTCTCTAACCTCATAAACATTTGAATTCACATTTCTAGCAGAAAGAAATGTGCGAGCCGGTTAGGGGGCGTTTGGAAGCGTATGTTTCTCACAAATTTGTATGTTATATGTTACTGATGATTTCATGCTTCCTTGAATCATCAATTTTAAACCTAGCAATATAAAATCTGATTGAGGGGGATATCTCTTATTGAATTTTGCAATTAAGTACATCATATTTTCACCTGCGAGATTTTGCTAGTGTAAGTAACTAAGTCGTGATGTGGAGATCACACGTTAAGGGCCTTTCTTGGACCTCGCAAGATCATATTTTTTGAACTTGCCCGGCCCAACATTCATGACATGTGGAAGTAATGAGATAAGGGCCTACCTTAACCATGTAGCTAGTTTTGACTTCCTATCCGACTAGCATACTACTATTATATCTCATTTTTTGTAGACCATAATAGTATGCTATCTCCCTCTTCCAAGAAAGTAACCATGTTTTCAATAAATACCAAGCTTGTGATAGCATGATTGTGCTATTTTATCATGTCAAACCTTCATGAATGATGGAATGTGAGGCAAGAGCTGGCATTTTACAAATTTCTTTCCAAATGTGCTGATGTCATCCAGTTCCCATCTTCTCCATTTGGGCCTTACATATGCTAAATGTCTATATAATATCTACGTTTCTTGAGGTTTTGATGGGTTTTTTGGTTATTGATTATCTGTTCTCTCAAAGAAAGCTTGTAATGTGGCCTTGTGCTTCCAAAATCACTTTTACGGTGGATGGTTTGTATCATATTATTTTGTGATCACCTTGTAAATTTAATGATGTCTGTAAACCTTTTTGTATATACTGTTTTGTCAAGATGATATTTTGTGAACTGATAGAATCAGAACGTGGTCTTTGAAGGTATGTCAAAGCTATTTCTTATTTCACACTACATGTCACCACCGTTCATTTGAATTTATATCACAATTTGTTGTTAGTCAATGCTCATTCTTGAACTCAAACCAACTTTATACGCTTTGCTTCATTAAACTCTGGGTGTTCCTTGTATTTTGCTTTTTCAAGAAAGTGTTGGATGGTCTACGATTTTAGATAGTATTATGGTAAGTAAAATTGCACCAGACATAAGTCAGGTGTCCACCTTCTATTATGTGGTTGATACAGTTACATGTCTGGAAAATCGACAGTTGCCCCATCGTTACAGATGTGATAATGCTTCTTAAGCTCAAATCTGCTCCATTTGGGCCTTACATAGAATCTGTATTATTGATATTTTTTATAATATTTAATAATCTTATTACATTGTTGCTTATCTATACTCCCTAAGCAAAGCAGTGAGTATGCTTTTCAGTGGATAGAGATGAATAAACATCTACATTATTTTTGAGTTCAGCTTCAAAGCTAAAGACCTAATCCAGCTTTTGTTACACCAGTGACGTATCACATCAGATAAGGATCATATCTGCAATTTTTTTTTATCCATTTGTGAATTACACTGAAACTTGACGGCAGTGGTCATGATTTTTTGGATATGGGAACCTATGGTTTTGACCTTCTAAATGCTTAACTTGTACTTATTGAATGCCACTCGAGGTTTTGTTAGTAATTATAGTGTCTTCTTTTGGCCATTAATTAATGTGAGATAATTATGCTATGTTATTAATTCGTCTGTTGGTTATGTTTGCAGATAATGCTGGTGTCATCGTGAATCCAAAGGGAGAAATGAAAGGTATGGCATATACTTTTAAGTAGCAAAAGAAACATCTCTTTTGACTGGATTGTTGGTTCATCAAGTCTGGCCACAGTTTTTTTATTTTTTATTTATTTAATTTTTTTTTTTTTGGGGGGGGGGTGCTAGTACAAGCATATTACTATCGATTCACATGAATAATTGTGTTTTAATTGATGAGAGAACTCATTAATGTCTTATTAAAATATTAAACATATCAGGGCAATCTCTTTTTCTTATTCTAGTTAATCTGAAGTGCAATGCACTTCACATCGTTTGTTCTAAGGCTAAATTTGGTGTTATCTTACCTTTTTGAATTTTCAGATTTTGAAATCATTTCTTGACAAATTATATCTTACTATCTGCTGCGTTGTTGTTTTTAGGTTCTGCTATTACTGGTCCAATTGGGAAGGAGTGTGCTGACCTGTGGCCAAGGATCGCAAGTGCAGCCAATGCAATTGTTTAGAGTGAAGACCTACCTGTCTTGACCTTGTGATTCAACCCTCAAAATTGTGGAGTTTTGTTAGGTATAGATTGAGGTTCTCGTGTGGTGTTGAGATTTACCTGTTTGTAAGTTATTGAAATCTGGTTGACTTGAGACGTGGCTCATGGTATGGATAACGAAACTCTTCTTTTTTGCTCTCATTTATCAGATGTTACCGGCTTTTACAATGTTTGATATATCTGCTTTCTATCTGGTTTTGTTGGTTTTTTTAAGCACTCTTTATGCAAGTTTTGACGTGCCTACGGTGTTTGTGCTTTGCTCTCCCCTTTTTCTTGGTGGGTATTGGCCATTTCATTTTACATCTTTTGTTGGAGGGGAAGGACTGAACTTTGTTACACTGTTCAAGGGATACAATGTCTCTTTGGGTTGATGTAACATCGAGTTAATGAGATGCAATGTCTTCAATTTAGCTTCTTTATGGGATGGTATTCATTGTTGTTGATTTTGGTCATAATGAACTTCTCGCTGTAATGGTCTGGCTATTAGCTACCTACTACCAGTTAAATTAAACCTGTTACCTAATTGACCAAGTTTACAACTCGTTCCAAGCTAAAGCCCCACCCGGGAGGGAAATGAACATATAAAACTGCAAACAACAGTGCAAGCATTATTTCTTCTGTCGAAGTTTTTTGTTCCCAGGCAACCAGTCTAAATCATTACACTAAATGTCGAAATGATACCACATATACACTATACAGCTAGGTCAGTAGGCTTCTCGTGAAACTTACAGACCCGATAACTGAGCATTACGAGGATACTAGAGACCATCTTTGATGATAAAACAAACTACAGTAATCAGATTGAACTAGAAAGCAACAATTGCTTCAACTCATTTTCTCTTCAGCTCCCACCTGCATCTTGGCACAGTACTCGAACAAACTTCCATCAAAGCAGCGTCTAACGGCTTCCTTAGATAAGAAACCTTCCTCATCCCGGGCAAGGATATACAAGATCCCCCACTCCAACTTACTTGTAATCCTGCAGAAAATAAAGGTCAAAAAACGAAACCAAAAACTACCAACTGCCACCTCCAACATGTGACACACAAAATGACTATTTGAATTCCGGGCAAAAGAGATTTCCCAACCGAAAAAGCTTTTTAACACTGCCCAATATTTATACAAATCCGTTTTTTTTACATAAAAGTATCAACTTTTTATTTTTTTTTTTGGGAATGTATGAGCAACCAGCAGCCTCAACAAACCAGCCAAAAAGGGCCCCAAAAAAAGCACAAAAATAAAATAAAAAGCAATCAGAAGCCTCAACAAACCCCCCAAAGATATCAAATGCAACTCGATTGCCTTCTGTCATCTCCCACAGCTCTCCCAGACTGAGCTTGTCGGGCACTGTGCGAGCATATTTGCTAAATATGTTCTCAAGATTCACTGGCATGTACCTGGAAATTGAATTGGTATCAGTGATTTTTCCCCAAAGCTCACATAAAGGAGCTGTTTTTTAGTATGCTTACCTTCCCTCTGTGTCATACGTTCCAGAGTCACTCCCATGCTTGGACCTATGTATGTTGTGGATGTATATAGGGAGGAACGGAGAAGGAATCCACCCCTACAATGACAGCAAGGAAAGGAGTTTACAGATGGAAACAGAAGAAATAACCACCAGAATATTTTGCCCATATGCATGCTTTGGCCACTAGATAATTGCCACGACTTGCAACTTGACTTGATAATGAGAAATACGAGAACTTCTCCCAAGCAGGAGAATTCAAAAACATTACAAATCTGATTGTTTGCTCATCCACTTTTGTAATGATGAGAAAGATAAGAGAACGTTTGCCAGTCAGGAATACATATATTATCTATAAATGGACGAGGGATTCTTGTGAAATGGCAGGCTACCTTTTGTCTCAAGATTAGGCCATTTGAAAACTCATCATCACAAACATAAACAGCACTACCCAATCAATATAAATGTTTGAAAGTAATTATGACTCATTAATAAATTTGGCTACTGCTCAGGATGTCATTCTCCTGTGCGTGAGTATGATTGAATCAGTATCTTGTTTTCGACAGACAGTGCCTATTATTAAGCAGGAGCAGTGACAGGGCAGCCTCTTCCTGTCCTCCAACCACACTAAGTTCTCTGCATGTTTCAGTCATAGACACTGCTCAAGTTTACTAGTAAGTAAAATTGCCCTCGACACATCACACGGGCACTCCCTAACCTATAATGATATAAAACCCCTAAAATTTGTGTTCTTTAATATAAACAGCCCCACGTGCCACCAGCTCTAGTAGTTAAAAATGGGTCCATCTACCTAAGCAAAGACATGTCACAAGGAGTAAGTTCGAGGGAAATAAAAAAGAAAAAGAAAACTCCACTCTCTAACATACACTCTCTTTTATTCCAGATGTACAAGTAAAAGGTCCCTTCACTCCAAAAATGAAATCAATTCAAAAGGAAAAATTTTCTGGGGATTTCAAGTCGAATACGAAGAATAGTGACTAACATTTCCCCATACTTAGAAAGATCATGCCTCAGAAGAAAAACACACAGATAGTCTACTGAAAAAAGGAGAACATATCAACTTACCGGAAGAGTAGTATAGCTTAGACCTCCATTGATAACAACAGCCATTATAAGAGAGGCAATCATGTTAAAGCCAATTGCCCGCAGACCTGTGTTACAAAATGGAAAGGTTAATAGTGAATGGAATGAGCTAACCCTATATCCACAACCACAAACAAGAGTCTTGAGGCTCATTTCTTTAGGTTCAGCATTGATGCAACTACATCATAATTATTCGGAGGACAAAGAATCATGCTAGGAGGGTCATAGATTCAACTTCTCGCAGATGGCACTAGTTCAAATTCAACAAATTGGTATCTAAGACCGACTCTAGAACACACAAGATAGGTGATCTTCCATGCAGCAGGTTCATCTCGCCACTATATAGTGTCTGGAGACTCGAATTCGCTTAATTTGGCTAATCAAGGTTATGTACAAATCCCTTAAAATGATGATTGAACGGCTAAAAAAATTACCAGTATAGGTTTCCCAAGGATAAACAATGCCATTGTCGTCTTGATCAAAAAAGGATACATGCTGTTGAAGAACACTCATGTTGTGATGCCTATGGCCTGGTGTTCCAGTTGGATGATCCATGTCAGGGGCAACCAACCCTCTCGCCACATCTGCATTGACACATCAAAGAAAAAATATTGGGAGTAAATTGTATGAGATATAGAAGGCTTCATCATTTCGGCTTGTCATTCTGAACCTAGGTAACCAAAAGATGCAAACAGAGGCTGAATCACAATATGATTAGTGGGGGCAGTTGCCCCACTTAATAAGCTTATGGCCAGACAAGATAAAGAGTGGTTTTCTCATCCCAACACCCAATTTCCTCATAAGATGCACCACAAAGCCCAAAAATAATATAGATAAGGCCTAAAAAACACAAATACGGACACAAGTGTCGTATTCGATAGGGACACGGGGGAATATGACAAAATTCAAAAATATAGGACATGAATATGGCTATTAAAATAATATAATATATTTTTTAAATAATAATAGATTTGTAATATATTTAAAATAAAACATATAACAATATTATTAATAATAAAACTTTACAAATATTAATTTTTTAATTAAGATTGAAATAGATCAAAATACTAATTATTAAAACCTAGCAAATATTATTTTTTTAATTAAAATTGAAATAAATCAAAATAAATATCCATAATTTTTATCAAACATCAATACATCCATCAACATTATAAGTTACATAACAAAAATTAAATTTAAAAAAAAAATAAAAATAACCTCTCTTTTAATAGTCAAGAATTGTTTTTTTTTTTTTGTAAAATTCCTCGCCATCAAGACTGTGTACTGGCCGACACATGTCGGACTAGGTTTCACTACTCGGGACATTTCTAACCATGTTCGACCGTGCTTCCTAGGATAAGGCTAAAAGGGTAATCAAAGATCTGCTGATTGTCTCAGACTACATTTATATAATCTAGCTGCAATTAAATAATTTAAGTTTTACCTGGTCTAATTGACAAGAGGAGCAGAATAGGAGAAAAGACCTTTCTGTGAAGGAATCTATCTTCTTTGAATTCATTCTTACAAGTCACAACTACTTGCAAGGGCTGATCATAAACGTGTATTAATGACAACCAACGCGAAGCCCTATAGTTTTGAGGTTGGATCAACAATGATTTCTGAATGCAGAAGATGAGCAATGCTACTCTGATAAAGGAATCTGACCAAAATTTCCTTACCAAGTCAAGTGGACTGTCAAATTAGTATACCTACTCACATTGTCTGTGGGTGACATCAGTTGCCAAGTAAAATTCGATAAGAGGAATTAATCAGAGTATCTGTATTGATCACTCATACTGATCTTCCAATTTCATAACCTAAATCTTTTATTTCATTTTCCAAAGATGAATAATCAAAATCAACACCTGTTCACATATATTTGCTAATCAAATTCAATTAACAATAAGCGAAAAATCAACGAGTCCCGATACTAGACGGATTCATTGTCAATCAAACCATAATCATAAATTAGGTGATCAAATTGATTCGACCAGCGTCACTATTTACTAGAGAGAGAGAGAGAGAGAGAGAGATTACAAGGTTTTGGAATATAATTTTCCAAGTCGTTCCGAACCGGCCGCTCGATTGTGACTGGCGCAAGAGCCGCCTCCGTCGACAGTGCATGTCTATCCGCCACCACTACCACTGGGGTATCCCTCTTCTCCGCCACCGCTGCCATCCCTCACTCACTCACTCTCCCTGCCTTCTTTCCCCAACCAATTCTTCACAATGATTTCGTGAATCGTACATTCTCTTCAGGCTTTCATAATTCATATATAAAGAGCGAGAGAGTCCGCAAATGCTGAAACTTTGAAGCACCGTGGCAGGCACGAGAAGGGTAAGATTACAAGTGGACTCCATGCAGGTGTCCACGTGCTTCTGTTTTTGCCACGTGTTGTCTTATGTGTCATCGTCTCCTTCATATTGGGTTAAAAAAGGTATTTAAAGGGGAGTTCACGTGACATGAGAGTGTTTTAACTTGGTATTTTTGTAACTGAAAATGTATTATTTTTTTGGATTTCTTTCTATTAATTGAGTATTATATGGATTCTTATAAAATTAGATTGATTTTTATTTTATTTTGTCATTTCTTAAATTGAACGGTTTTCTAATTTATAGAGATTATGGATAGTAGATTTAGTTCGCATAAAGTTCACTGATCAACACAACATACAACTCTTTATTGTATTGCGTTTTACTAGTGTGTTTTTTATTATTTTCTTTTATACCATGATAAATTTTTGATTAATAACTCTCAAGAGAAGAAAAAAAGAAGAAGTTAAGAGGCTATTTGGTTCAATCCTAGACACTCTAACATCATTTTTTAAACTTACCTTTTTATTTTAAGTTATAAAATAGATAAATAGACACATTCTATTGCACTGATCAGGAGTGTCCGTGGTGACTAAGGGTGGTCGAAGACAAAAAAATGAGTTATTTATACCATGATCTATTTGAAACTGCCACATATAAAAATTGAACACAATTTTGTACAAAAAAAAAAATAGCCCACTTGTGTTATCAAGAAGAGATGGAAAACCATTCTCAATATTATTTGATTGAATAGTTGACCCAACTCCTTGTTGTTTGAAGAAACTCTTCATTTCAATTGATATTTTTTCACAAAAAAATGCATGAGATAATAAATTTAGTGTTTCACTAAGATTTCGAATAATGGGTCTGAATTCAATAAATAGATTAATTTTTTATATTCATTTTTATGTGAAATCTATGTTTTTGTGTGTGTGTGTTTTTTTTTTTTGGGGGGGGGGGGAGTGTTCGAAAGCTTGGATAATAATTGGAATTATCTATCATAACCATGGAATAAAAGAGTTAAGGATGAGTGGAGCACATTTTGTATACTAGTTACGAATTTTTAAGAATAAATTAAATTTTTAATTTTAATTTTATTTCAGTAAATGATATAATAGTATATGAATTTTGGTTGTAAAATTTAAAATATTTGATATTCTATTTTTTATTGGAGTATTTTTTGTCTAAGTATAATATTTTAAACTTAAAGGGTTTAAATATTATATACCTATAAATTTCAAGGGGTCTAAGTATAATTTATTAACGGTTATATTTATAACAAGAGTCTAAGCGTTACACGCGTACAAATCTCAGGAAATTTGTGTGTAATATTTCACATGTTATGGGATTTGAGTGATTAAGTGACAAAATTCAGGGAGTCTGGATGTAATTCTCCCTATAAACATTTATAAATAACATGAACATAATATTTATGTCAATAAAACATAGCTTTTCTACTTGAGTTGCTTAAGTTCCTCAGTTAGAAAAACACAATGACGGTCCAGATCATTTGATTCAATAATTTATATTATGATTTAATTTTTTAACCTCATTTAAATTTTAATTTTTAACTACAGTACCTCACTCAAATATGGACCGACTAAAATAAATGTGAAAATTGAAAGTGAATCCCCTAGTTGTATTTGTTTGAAGATAAGTCATGTAAGAAAATTTATAAGGGACTAAGTTGTGTTTAAAATTATATGTAATGACTTAAGTCCACTTTTTTTTTTTTAATCTAAAAAATATCCTTCATTGAAAGTAAGTTAATATTTTATCTCTCATATCTATCTATATTCATATATAGATTAAGAGTTTGACTAACATTAAATTTTTTTTTCTCTCTTATTTATCTATATCCATATATAGGTTAGGTATATATATATAGTAATATTAAAAATAAAAAATATTAACATACAAATAAAAAAAAAGTTACTATGAATTTGAATAGTAAAATTCAAATTCATGTTACTATTTTTTTTATTATGTTACTGCTTTTGTTGAGTATGTTACTGTTCATGTACTATTATTTGTGAACATGTTACTACTATTATTTTCCTAAATATTAATATTCAATGTTACTATTTTTTTTTTAAATATTATTATTTTTTGTATTTGAATGATACTATTTTTGGCGTTTGAATTTGAGAGAAATTATTATTGTTAAGTATGTTACATTTTTTGTTAAGCATGTTACTATTTTTGTTAAACATGTTACTATTGTTATTTTTTTAAAAATATTAATATTGAATGTTTTAATTAAACATGTTACTGTTATTATTTTTTAAAAATATTAAAATTGAATGTTTTAATTTTTTTATGTTTAAATGTTACTATTTTTTTGTGTTCAAATGTATTATTTTTTGTGTCCAAATGATAAATTTTTTTTTTGTATTTGAATTTTACTATTATATATATATATATATAAGAGAAAAAATTTTAATATTAGTCAAACTCTTAACCTATATATAGATATAGATAGATAAGAGGGAGAAAAAATTTTAATGTTACTAAAACTCCTAAGATTTAAGAGTTTTTAATTTTTAGTTTTATTTCACTTTTTAAGGGAAAGAATAGTATGGTAAAATTGACAAAAAATAGATTTCATAACAAATAAATTTATTTGACGGACTTAACTTCGGACCGGCCTCCAAATTTTCTAAAATAAATATTGTATGGACCGAGAACCAGCCCAACCTAAATATTATGCTCTTGGGGGTACCTCACATTTCACAACCTCACCTGGTCAAAACTTTTGGGCTGCTTTCAGAGGCCCACCTGGGCCGTTGTTACAGGCCCCCATTTGTAATATCACGAAGTGTTAAGAGAGAGAGAGAAAGGTGGAGATTTTTTAGAGAGAAAATGGCGAGTGAAGCGGCTGTGGTGGAGGCGACGGCGGCGGGGGCAGAGGAGGTGGCGAAGCAGCCGCACAAGTTGGAGAGGAAGTGGACTTTTTGGTTCGACAACCAGTCGAAGGCCAAACAAGGAGCTGGGGCTTGGGGCAGTGGGCTTCGCAAGGCATATACCTTTGACACCGTCGAAGAATTCTGGTGGTATTAGACCTAATTCTCTCTCTATATACATGTAGATTTATGAATTCCTAGTATGGATCTATAGTTTTTTTTTTGGTTATCTGTTGGATCTGTTTCCTTTTTGTCATATCGAATATAAATAAAGTGTATATTTCTGTTTTTTTAGGTATATTCGTATTGATTTTACTATTTATGGGTATCAGTTTGTGCTAATTTTATGTGATTTTAATTTATTTGTCCCTTTTTCTGGATTATATAGGTTCTTCGTTAAACGAAAAAACTAATTCTAGATTACAGGTTTTTCAATTGTTGGGGTTTTATTCTTCTTCTGGTATTTTGAGCATTGTGTTAGTGAGAATTAATTTAGAACGCGAAATTTGAGCTAAATTCTTTAATATGTCTATCATAATTACACTTCTATGATCTTTCTTCTTTCTTGTAGGTATTTTTCAATTTTTTTTCCTCTTCGGGGGAAGGGGTTTATTATTTGATTAGAGCACACTGGTTTTTGAATAGTCCACTGACTCCACTGGGTTTAGGTTATTAATATGAAAACAGTGAAGATGATTTATTCACTTTGTATTGAAGTAGTGAAGTTTCTGGCAGTTTATATGATCAGATATTTAGGCCCAGCAAGTTTCCTGCAAATGCAGATTTTCATTTGTTCAAAGGTGGGATTGAGCCCAAATGGGAAGATCCCGAGTGTGCTAATGGAGGCAAGTGGACTGTTACAAGTAACAAGAAGCCTGATCTTGACAATATGTGGCTTGAAACTGTAAAACTCTTTATCTTCTATATTTTATTCTGGCACTTTCATTTTGGAATATGAGAATTTTGATTAAAGTGGCCATTAAATTTGTGGCCTTTGGTTCGGTCACTAATTGGATTTTTGTTTGGCAGTTGATGGCTTTGATTGGGGAGCAGTTTGATGAGGCTGATGAGATATGTGGTGTGGTTGCTAGTGTGCGTCAAAGGCAGGATAAACTTGCATTGTGGACGAAGACGGCAAGCAACGAGGCTGCTCAGGTTGAATATATTGATTTAACTGCTATTTAGAATGCTGATTGCATTATGGCTTTATATCCTTTATTTTTCTGTTTGTTTCCATGTGGAAACTTTGGTACAGTTTTTGTTAATAACTCCACTTTTTTGGTGTTTTAGTTAAGGTTAGTATTGCCTTATATGAAATACTCTTTCCCTGTTAATTTTTACAATTAATTCTTGTTACTTTTGGTGTAAGTTTTTAGCAAAAAAATATATATAATGGGTTTGGCAGAAATTCTATCTTCATTATTATACTGGAAACTTTCGAAAGAGGAAAAAAATTCTGAAGAAACAAATATTTGTGGCGGGATAAGGAACTGACTAAAAAAGTACACCATATGGTTTTTGAGAGGATGGATTCTCAGACTTGAGCTGATAGAAGAAATGAGAAAATAGTGCAGCAATTAAGCTCAAAAAAGAAAAGCTGTGTATGGAAAATTGTTACTCCTATAAGATTTTTCAGAATTAGTTCTTAGAGGGTGAGATTCCAAAATGCACTTGTATCTAGTGAATAAGAGTGATTCTCTTATAGTTCCATCTCTTTTATTGATGCAATATAGCATTCAGATTTGCTTAGAACAATAATCCTCACTTTTTAGCAATAAGATAACAGGGAAAAAACATTTGGGCCAAAGATAGAGCAAGAATATGAATTTTTAGGCCAAAGAGACCCAAGAAAGGCTGCAATTCTGAATTTCTGAAAAATTACCAGATGCCTTCTTACAAAAACTTTGTTTTATTCAATGATATTTGTTTGTGAAGCTTGTGATTTTTTTAAAGTCCTCCAATTGCTTGGCTGATAGATGTCTCCCATGAAGTCAAGGCTAGAGAGTTGGTTAGATTAAAAAATACGAATTGATGATGCCCTTAATCCTTTAAACAAACATCTTTCATCATTTCTAGTTTTGTTTTTTCTCCACTTATGATCATTAAAAGTTTAGGTCAAATTATCAAATTTGAATCTCCTTTTTCTACCCTGGTTTGAGTTATGGCTTTGAGACCTCTAGTCAATCTGTCAATGGGATCACTTGGTTGTTGCATTTCATTTAGATTGTCAGTGATGTTCCATTGCATGTTTTACACTTATTCTATTTCTAATCACATATATTATAGGCTAAAATGGGAATATTGGAAGGTTTGTTGATACCAAGTGAAGATGAATACTTCCAATTTGTTTCCACAAGCAACTGAAAGCACATAAAATATTATTCAAGTTGGGGCTACCCCTTTCTTCCACCCGCTAGTCTGAGTTTTTGGTAGTATGTCATCCTGAAGCTGCTGGCCAGGAATGTTTTTCTTGTTTTAAGCCCTTCAGAGAGCATCAGATTAATTAATATTGATTCTTTTGCTGTAGATGAGTATTGGAAGGAAGTGGAAGGAAATTATTGATGTCGCTGATAAGATCTCCTACAACTTTCATGTAAATTTCGTTACTCTTAAGACTGGCTGTCTCTTAGCAGCGTGTTTCTCTATTTCTTACTGTTTTGGTTATTTCAGGATGATGCTAAAAAGGAAAGATCAGCAAAAGGTCGATACAACGTGTGAACAATCCTTCGAGGTGTTTCTGGAGTTTTGTCTACCCTTCCGGTTGAAGTGAACCAGTATTAAAGAACCCGAAATTGATGCAATGTTTGCACCTTGCTACTGCTTTTTTGTTGACAGTAATTTGGATTTAAGATGTTCCTTTCCAATGTAGTACCTTGTTTCTGTGCTGACATTTGGGAAATATAAATCACCTAATGTTTTTTGTCAATCTGCTGCAATGTAGCAGGTAATAGATATTCGTGATTTATAAACCGGCGGGGAAATCAACCTCTCTAAAATGAGGATAAGCAACTATTTACCTCTCTTAGACCATGTTATATGTGGAAGTCTGTGGACTAGAAACACGTTCTGATTTTCAGGGGAAACCCAGGTGAAGATGAATAATTTACATCTGAAACTCCTTAAGTACAAAATTTATCACAGTGACCACGAGGCGAAAACGCATTTTCTCTCTCACCTCATGCAAGGAATCCAAGTCTCTCTCCATTCTTCTTTGCCAACCGAATCAATCCTTGTCGAAGTTTCGGATCTGCCCCTATTGATTTGCAGAATTCGGTAATTACCTGAAAGTATATATTTCATTCAATAAAGATGAAGCATATGTCTACTCATTGAAACAACTACTTGTACCGCCATACATATAGTTGCTTATAATAGGTAGGGCACCGTGATTTATCTTTTATTATTAGATAGTTTGCCTTTGACCGAACCGAGAAAAGAATTAGTCGAGGTATTTATAAATTGGTCATAATATCCTTAACCGTTAAAAAAAAAACTATAGTATGTAATTCTAATCACGTCTCAATTTAACTCTGCACCAAATCCACATTTAATTTCAATCCAAATCCACATATGAAAATAGTATTTTAGTTTAGTAATGTAAATTTTGCCCAAGTGAAAATATGCTTGTGGGCAAGTGTATATATGGATCCCGTTGGTTGGGATTGTTACCTGCGAGTGTAAAGCAATTGCTTTGCCTCTAAGCTGGTTAAACCTCTTCCTGCCAATAATATTCCGAGCAAGAACAACCGCCGGAGCGAAAAGACCCTTCCCTTCATTGACATTCTTCATCATTGGCACAGCTCTCACTGGCCTTCCAACTCCAACAAGGGTGGTCGGCACAGACATGGCCAGCATGCTGTAATCTTCACCCGCCATAGATGTTTTCCAACTTCCATGGGAAGAATGAGAGAAACCCCCTTTAAACCCAGTTACAGAAATCGAAGCAGCCATTGAAGACCTCAAGAGCTTGCTGGTTCTGTTGGATATATTGAAGAAATCTAAAGGTTCTTCTTCTGTTGAATCTGTGTGACACGTGTTTGATGGTTGTTCTGTGAGCGACTTGGGTTTTTATTGGAGGGTGGAGTGACAGAAAGCTGAGGAGGCACTAAGAGCCACACATACTCGTGGCTTGGATTTTTGTTTGATGCTCATCTATGCCTATATTTTACTTGAACATGATCTTCTCTTTTGGTCCCACTTTTTAATTGAAGAACAATCTTTGCTCTTCTAGTGCCTCTCTTGATGGGTCATGTCCCACACCAATTTTGAATTTTCTCACCCATTTAGTCACTTATGAAGCACTAATAACCATCAGATTTAAATTGGGACCCGTGACCAGATAAGAAGATAAAAAGATTCATACCAAAGTATGCTTTCATTAATAAGAGATTCATACAATTAAAGGGACGAATCGAAGTAGCCATTGACCGGATTTCTTGTTATCTTTATTGAGAATGTTCTGTTCTTTGCGCTGAGTTTAGTCTTACTAATTTTTTTTTGCACAATACTAGTAAAAATTACATCTGTAACCAAACTTACTCTCCTCCATCTTGCATTATCGAAGAACAAGTTGGGCAATGACCCTTGAAGGTTGTCTGAAATCAGACGGTGCAGAGCGTTGGATGTCAGTGTCCACATTGGTCTGATTGCGGGGCTTTTGCGACCAAATCGCTGTCACTAAATATGTCCTAATTTCCTACCAACTGCATGTGAGACGCTTATGTTGGCTACTGACTGGGTCTGCAACAAATGACCAGCTAACAAGCCAGCTCTGAGTTTTAGCACCGTTGATGTTTTTGTCAAAAGAAGGTTCTCAGTAATAGTCATGGCTGCAACCCCGAGAATACTTCAAGTAATAATAGGGACGAATTATAAAGTCAGACGTTTTAAATTCGAATATTGACAACTACTTAAGATCAGGTCATAATGAATTTTTCTTCATGAATACCCTAGTCCGTGTGTAGATAGTTTGCATTTGACCGAATTGGGGAAGAGATTAGTCTAGGTACTCAAAAATTGATGTTCATAATCTGACTCAAATATCTCTAAAGGTTGGAAAAAAAAAAAAAGTAATAGTCATGGCTTGCTTTCCAAGCAGAGTGTTTGAATACTTGTTAGATGTCCCCTATTGCTAGAAAGTTCATCTTGTGTTTATTCATAATGTTAGGTGCACGTTTGGAATGAGAATATTGACGGTGAGTTGATTTCATAAGTCAATGATTAAACTAGAGCTTTATGTGAAATGAAACTATTTTAACATTTTTTTTTTCTTTAGATGTGGAAGGAATAAAACAAGGTAGTCTCTAGAACTTCTTTACTCCAGTCGATTATGTAGGAGTCATTCTTTCATTGTTCCAACCCTACTCTAAAAAACGTTGTACTTGGTGTGTGTGGGGTTGAGGTGCAATAGGACATAAATATAGGGGATAGACTGAAGGTTACCCCATTATTCATAAAAAAATTTAGAGCTAACTTAGAATAATTATGAGGATATCACTTACATTTGCATGAGATGTATGCGAGCGTAAATTTCTTGTGACGATTCATGCTTTTACTGTTTTTTTGTTTATGCAAATCATGGGCATTTCATGTTCATCTTTATTAAATGTGGGCACACTTATTCTGTTGGTTTTTTTTTTGTGGAGTCTAGTTTGTATGCTATTTAGACGATGACTCGACTCAAAAAATGTTGCGTGAGTTTTTTAATGGAAATTTTCTAAAGCTTAGTCTATTGATATTGTACAGCCGTTGCCCTCTCTGTATTCTTTTTTGAGAAAAGTGAAATTCCTACAGTGTCGTGGACGTAGGCAAATTATCGAACCATGTAAATTCTGTGTTGTGTGATTGTTTAAATTGCATTTTTATCGTTCTTTTCATTAATTTCACTTTATTATCATCGTTTGATTTCACAACATATTGAATGAAACAATTTACTGTACACCTTCCAAATTACGTTCATCCAAAAACAAAAAAAAAAAAAAGTTGAGATATTGGAGAGAACCATAAACAATTTGATAATTTGAATGCTCTGACTTGTGTGGATTCTTGCCGTTTATTTAGGTAAATGGGAAATATTGGCCAATCACAATGTGAGTATCTCTACCTTTGCTCTATTATCTTGACACGGGCCGCAAAAAATATCAGTTCAAATTAGTATGTGAGTTTGGTCTGATTTTGCTTAGTACAATCTGACGATGCACAAAATAATTTTGTGCAAAATTAATAGTTGAGTATGTAATAAAGTACAATTAATAGACAATTAATAGAACAATTAATGACAATAATGTAAATATTGGGTCAACACGCAGATATATAGTGGTTTGGTCCAGATGACCTACTCCACTTCGAGAAATGGCAACGGTGACCGAATGACCTTTTATTGATTAAATAAGGTGAACGAGAGAAAACAAATAGTTAGTCCTGGGAGGGATACAATAATTAGAAGAGAGAAAAGTTATGTGTGGGTTGTGTAGAGAGGTGTAGAGGTATGTGCTCTCTCATGTAGAGAGAATTTACAATTAATGGACAATTAATAGAACAATTAATGACAATAATGTAAATATTAGGTCAATACGCAGATATATAGTGGTTTGATCCGGATGACCTACTCCACTCCGAGAAATGGAAACGGTGACCGGATGACCTTTTATTGATTAAATAAGGTGAACGAGAGAAAGCAATAGTTAGTCCTGGGAGGGATACAATAACTAGAAGAGAGAAAAGTTATGCGTGGGTTGTGTAGAGAGGTGTAGAGGTATGTGCTCTCTCATGTAGAGAGAATTTACAATTAACAAGCACAGAGCGTTAAGTTAAGGCGGTAACTTGATTTTCAAGAGTGAGAATCGTGATTAATTGTTTTTCACGTACTTTAATCTTCTTAAATTCCTTGGATCTTGGGATAAGTCAATTTGATGAATTAGATTTGACCTGTCTTTTACTTGATTTGGATTCACTTGATTAAATTTGGGCTCATCACAATCTTCCTTTTGGATGAGTTTATGTAGTATATCTCCAAAAGTGCATACAAAGCATTCTTTTAACATTTAAAAGTTCAAAACTTTCACGTACTATTTAAAGGTTGAAACAGTAGACTTAAATCCGCTCAATTACTTGTTTTTTCATCAATTCCTCGTAGTAGAAGGGGACGCCTAAATTGTGAACCAGATTTTGCCACCTACAATAACATTCTTTAACCGTGATTAATATAACAACGCCGCACATACTTCTGCAAAACTTGTCATAACAGCATATTTCTCTCTCATTATTTGCAGGTCAATTATAGTTGGATTATCAACTCTTTCGTTATTTGTTTTTAGTTGATATGATTTTAAATGGGTGGACTATTGTTTTCATTCTTTTAATTAATGCTCCGTTTGGTAGGGATGATGAAAAATAGTAGGGATACACTTTTTATTCTTCAAGGATGAAAAGTAGAAAGGATATGTTTTATTTCCTTTGTGTTTGGTTGGATGGATGAAAAATAAAAATAAATATTTTTTTTTTGTGCCGGTTAAGATTAGAGGTGACAATCGAGTCGTGTCGTGTTAAATTCGCATTAAGTCGTTACGGATTTATTTCGAATATTAGTCAAACCTAACTCAACTCATTTAATTAATTGTGTCGTGTCGAGTCGAAAATTTTCATCATTAGTTAAAGATGGAAAAAATATTTTTTAAAAATTTTAAATTTTTATTTTTAGTATTTTTATTTTTAAAATTTTTAATATATATATATATATATATATATATATATATATATATATATATTACCATTGTATTTTTATATTAAATAAATGTATACAAATAATTAATTTTTTATCCATTTTCCTTCTAATTTTAGAGGAACTGATTTTGATGAGTTAGAAGAAAAGTTAATCCATCTACTTTTATGTCCTTTCTACTTTCCTTCTTTATCAAATATAATGTTTTATTTATTCTCTCAACTTTTCATCCTTCCACTTTTTCGTCGTATCAAATGGAACATAAGGGAAGAACACATAGCGAAAAAACAGGTGGAAATTGGAGGACTGGAAAAGAATAATATGTTTCAAATTCAATTATGCCTATACTAGTGCCAATGCCATTATATATTCCTTTGTGATTCTTGTTTTCTTTATTCCATATGACAAAAGTTTGATTTATTATGCTTTTCGCTGATATTTAGAAAAGTAAGTCAGAGACGTTGTATTTCATGTGAGGGTGTGCCTAGGAGCACTAATGACTGAAGATTCAGAGAATGTAATTTTCTAATATTTGGTGGGTGGTCTATGTGTTTTGGGTTTAGGTCTCAACAATAGGTTTCTGTGTTTCGTAGTTTTGAATTCTTTATATGAAATGGTGTCTAATTCTTTTAATAGCTCGTGTAATAGCCTTTGCTGTGCTCAATAAAGATCTCCTTTTGTGGGTTTACTTAGACGATGATAATGTCTATCAATATTGTCATTTTATTTTGTTCTATTGATTTGTTTTGCAGTGTTGATTCTAAAGTATCATTTTGGTTTGCCATTGCCTATCAGTCTTCGGAGATGGAATCAGAGTAGGCTAATACGAGGAAATCTAAATGAAGCTTAGGGTGCTGTTTAGCTGCGAGTTGGGTCCAGTAAGGAGCTGGAACCCAAATCCTTGCCGTAATAGAAGAGAGTCGGGTGAAGCCGGGTGAGAATTTTTACATGGTATATCATAGATTTTGATAGTTCTATCCAAATAAAAATTTGACATTAATTCTAACATATGAATGACCTCATTAAATAAAATTTTTGGATGTGTTATTTACTTTATTTGACTTTTTTTTACAATAAAATCCTGATTCCGTTCCTGATGATAATCTCCCCCGTCCATTATTTCTGCAATCGTTCCTTTAATCCTATGTTTTTCTAGTAATCGGGGGGAGAAACGATTCATCGTCAAATCAATCCTACACAAGTAAAAAAAGGTAGGATTTCTTGGACAAACTCAGTTTTTGAACATTAAAAATTGATTTTTGGTCGATTTTGAGTTAAATAAAAGTGAAACTCACTCATCGTTTTGAGTAAATTTTAGTGAGATCGTGTTCTACTTCGTGAGAAAAATTATATAGTATATTCATTTGTTCAAATCGAATAAAAAATAAAT